GCATGGTAGTTAAGGTGGCTGGATCCCACATGGCCAACTGCACGATCCCAGACCCTGTACCTTGAAAAACACACCAGGCGTATGTATATTTGTGCCCAAGATCCCAAAAGGAAGAAGAAATGGAGGAAAAGAGATTGTGGTGTGACTATCCCCCTGGGTGGTGCTTTCTCACTTCTCTATCTCTCTCTAGCAAGTGTGCGCAATCTCTAGCAGATTACGAAAATACTAGTAATTATAATTATATGAGATGTAGAAGCCATGTATAATAGTATATCAGAAAAGGCAGTTGACCTCTTTCTTTACCTGTAAAATTAGATTTGGATTCAAAAGTTGGTATGTTACAGGGATTGAGAGCTAAGATTTTAGAGCCCTTGTTTCCTAGCTCCACTTCTTACTAGCAGGGAAAGCAAGAAATCACCCTGTAGGAGGGATGGCCACACTGCAGTCCCTTCTCCTCCATTCTCCTCTCGGATGTTGTGCACACACACAGGCACCCAGTGTGATCCTCAAACCGCCAGGTTCAGGGCTCAAACCAAGCTCAGCCATGTGGGAATCCAGCATCTTAACCACCATGCCACCTGCTGGCCACTCTCACTAGCCTTTTAACCCTGAACATGTTATTTATTTTCCCCAGACCTCAGATTCTATCAAATGGGGATAAAAACTATACCTACCTAATATGGCTGCTGTGAAGAACGTGTATGTACACACACACCTTATTTAATGGTGCCTTACATAGACTCTTACGTTGTAGGTGACATTCTTTCAGATCGTTTGGCCCTTTGCTATGGGGTTGATTTCCTGTGAGGCTGGCATTCCAAAGGGGAGATCAGAGCCCCTACACAGGTTAATTAATTATTTCTTCTCTGAGTTATTTTTAGGTAGATGAGATGAAATAGCAAAGGCGAAAATGGAAGAACACAAGAATGCCAAAGACAAAATGTCGAGGAACATTAATATTAGAGAATAAAAGGCAGGGGTGTATGGGAGGAGCCGGCGAAGGAACATTCAAAGAGAACCAGGAGATACTCTAATGATGCCACATGGAATAGAAAAGGTTAAGGCAAATTAGTTCCTAGTATTTACTGAATTTTTAATATTGGTTCAGTATCATGCTGAGTGTTATTTCAAATTTAAAACATCCCTAAGAAGCAAGTAATATTACTAGTGTTACCACCATACAGTGTGTAATGATTTACCTGAAAACTCCTGCAGTGTTAAATTTGGAGGCAGCCTCAGATTATTATCTTGGTGGCGACTACTGGCAGAGGTGTGCATTGGGTTGTCAGAAAAGTCATGACACATTTTTGTGCAGAAAAACAGGAAAAATAGGGAGCCAGCAGGTGGCATGGTGGTTAAGGGTGCTGGATTCTCACATGGGCGCTGGACTCTCAGATGGCCAACCACAGTTCTAGTCCCAGACCTGGTGGCTTACTTTTTCACTACCCCTCATCTTTCTGTCCCTCTCTGGTCAAATTAAAATAAATAAAGTTAAAATATTTCTTTTTTCTTTTTTTTTTCTATTTGGTTTTTTTTTTTTTTTTTTTTTTTGGGGGTTTTTCTTTAGGGACCCAGGGGCCCCCCAGCCTTTTTTTTTTTTTTTTTTTTTGAGAGGTTTTCACTATAGGACGCATGCGCTCGCCAGACAAACAGAGAGAGACATAGAGACAGAAAGCGAGAAATCACCCCCCAGGGGGGGATGGTCACACCGCAATCCCTTCTCCTCCATTCTCCTCTCGGGATCTTGGGCACGCACGCACACGTGCCCGGCGTGAGTTTTAAGCCACCGGGTCCGGGACATGAACCGCGGGTCGACTACGTGGGAGTCCAGCGACATAGCCACTACGCTAACTGCTGGCTCCCAAAATATTTCTTTTTAAAAATGGAAAAAATATGTCATAACTTTTCCAACAACCCAATATAACACTTTGTTATTTGCACTCAAGTTTAGAACAAGCCCCAAGTAAAACAATGGAAATGTACATAGAACTATTAGTTCTTATATGATTTAATTATGTCAACATACATGAATTTAACTTTAACTTTTATGTAGGCAAACAGTTCACTTTTGTCCATTTTATTGTGTGTTAAAATAACATCCCTCTTCTATACATTCTTTTCTTGACCCAAATGAAATATTAACCTAAGATCAAGATGAGGAAGAAAAACAACTGAGATGAATGTCTTTACTAAAGCACCAGTAAATTTGTCAAATTAAAAAAAAAAGTTATCCACGTATTATAGAGGATAATACATGGAAAACTGCTCAGAGAGAAAACATAGAAAATTGCTCAGAGTTACTAAGTTGATAAGAGGTAGAACCAAGATAGCGTACCAGATCTATGCTCTTAATGTGATTCCTTCTGTGAGAGTTGTCTTTCATATTTAATCAAAGCAGTTAAATGTTGGTTCAAGAATATACATGGATTAATGGGATAGGAAAGTGTAGGAAAACTGCCCATCTGTACAGCAGAATGTAACTTCAGTAAACATTTTAAATAAATGGACAAAAGGTGCCTTGTTTGATCAATGTATTCGAGAAATTACCCATTTGGAAAATAATTAATTAATTAATTTTGACCCCATATTTTTTAAATCCATGTACAGTTCAAGCACTCCGATCCAAAAATCTAAACCCGAAATGCTCAAAATATCTGTAAGTTTCTTTTATTAAATGAGGTTTTGGTCCATTTCTTAGTCTATTCTTCTGAAACTCCTGTGATGTATATATTTGTTTACTTAATTAATATCCCCTGTGCCTAGAGGCAGCCTTTATTCTTTTCAACATTTTATCTGTTTTTCTTCTGATTGGATGATCTCCAAAGATTTATCTTCCAGCTCTGAAATTCTTTCTCCAACTTAATCTAAACTGCTGTTGAAGCTCTCTGTTGAATTAGTATTTTAAATTTCATTTCTTGGGTATTTCAGTTCTAGAATTTCTATTTTTTTTTTTTTTTTATGATTTCTGTCTCTGTTGAATTTCTCATTCTGGTCTTATGTTGTTTACGTGCTTTCATTAAATTATCTGTCAATATTTTCCTGTATCTTGCTAAATCTCTTGAAAATTATTATTTTTAAATCCCTTCCAGGCATTTTAAGAATTTCCTTATCTTTGGGATCTGCTATTACTGTGTTTGTAGGGAGGCGCCACATTTCCTTGCCTTTTCATGTTTCTCGCATCCCTCTATTGATATCTGCACATCTGGTGGAAAAGTCGCATTTTCATCCCTTTAGAAAGGGGGCAGCTTTCTAAGTGGAAGATTTCTTTCTCAAAAACATGCCCTTTAGTGTGGAGTATGTGGGTATTTCGGTGTTGAGTGGGTGTAGAAGTGCACTCTCCACGTTTTCCTCTGTTGTGTTCACTGACAGTGGTGACACGACTTCAGTACTCCTCACATAGACTTAGAGTGTGTGTGCTAGTTGTGATGCAGTTTTGTTCGGGGTGGCAATGACCTAGTCAGCCCTTTGGCCATGGCAGTGGTAGGGAGCAGGGTGTCTGCCTGCAGTCTCAAGGGAGCTTTGCCCAGCAGTGGAGAGGGAATAGTCATCAGGACAGCAGGGCTGGGAGTGCCAGTCTCAGAGCCTGTAGGACTCTCCCTGGGGATGGGACAACAGGTTGATCCCTGGGGACCAGCCAGATTTGGAGGGCTCTCGCAGTAGGAGGGGCCTGTGTGCTCTCTGGAGCAATAGGGATTCTCTGTAGTTCCAATTGTGGGTGACATCAACAAATTGCTGGGATGCTGGTTACATAGGTCCATTTTATTTGTCAGAACTCATTGAATTGTACGTTATTTAAATCTGTACATTATTCTTTGTAAATGAAAAAAGGAGAAATCCATATGTAGATCTATAAGACATTTTTAAGTGAAAAAAGCAAACTGCAGAATGAAATATACATTATAATACCATTTATATAAAGAAAAAATAATTATCACCAAACAGAATTATTTCTGTGGATTCACATTATCATGCGTGTGTATATATGATGCTTCTTGGGTCCTGCTACCTCACTCCACTGGAAGATTCTTCCTGTAGTGTCCGTCTTCTGTGCTCTTAGGGTTTCATTCTAGGATGCAAAAAAAAAAAGGAAAGACTTTTTTTAAAAATAATTGTTTATTTTTATTTATTCATTCATTTATTTTAATTTGACCAGAGAGAGACACACAGAGAGAAAGAGAATGTGAGAAAGCAAACCACCAGGTCCAGGACTCGAACCATCGTTGGCCATGTGGGAGTGTCCAGCATCCCAACCACCACACCACCTGCTGGTTCCAAGAAATCACCCCCTAGGGGGGATGGCCACACCACAATCCCTTCTCCTCCATTCTCCTCTCGGTATCTTGGGCACGCAAGCACACGTGCCTCACATGATTTTAAGCCACCAGGTCTGGGACTCGAACTGCAGTCAACTACATGGGAGTCCAGTGACATAGCCATTACTCCGATCTGCTGGTCCCGGAAGACTTTTATATTGTATTATCATAGCATAAATATCATTTTCCCTACTTAGTATAATACTCACCAGTATATTCTCCAGTGAAGAAAGATAAATCAATTTCTAGAAATTTTAACTAATTAAAAAAAAAAAGACGGTTTATATAGTGATTTTGAAACTACTGGATCATTGGGAAAGTCATGACACATTTTTGCATAGAAAAATAGAATAATAAATCCTGACTTTCCTGACGACCTAATAGTGCGTTCTGACTGGCAGCCGGCCGCAGTGGAGCTGCCATTGAACTTGAAGTAGTCAGATGGCCGCGGTTCTTGGCCCTGACTCTGCTGAGAAGTAAATGGGTGTATTTTGGAACAAGGTGTTTAAACTAACTGGACCTCAGTTTCCTCTTTGGCTAAACATTGAGCTGGATTGGATGATCAAAGGTCTTCCTAGCCTGAGTTGCAGTGAACCCTGTTGATTTGCATGAACCTTACATGAAATTGGTCACAATTTATATGGAAAATACATGGAAAATAAGTTTTTTGCTTTTGTTTTCCAACAGGTGACAACCAAAGCCAAGCAACTGAAGGATTCTGTTACCTGCTCCCCAGGTGAGTTAGCGCCTGCTCTGTCCCATTACCTAACATGGTTCCTTTCAAATAAATTCCTCCTCCATGCCCCCTTTGTTCCTTTTTGCTAGGCCAGTACTCACCAGAGAGTGACTGAGAGAGGAGAAAGCACCCCCGTGGGGAGCAGTCTACACGGTCCACAGTCCCTCCTCTTCCATCTTCCTTCCTCCTCCATCACCCCCTCCTCCACCATCACCTCTTCTTCCGTCATCACCCCCTCCTCCTCTTCCATCTCCCCCTCCTCCTCCATCACCCCTACTCCTCTATCTCCCCTCCTCCTCCATCTCCCTTCCTCCTCCATCTCCCTCTCCTCCTCCATCTCCCCCTCCTCCATCTCCCCCTCCTCGCTCTTCCCCTCCTCCATCTCCCCCTCCTCCTCCATCTCCCTCTCCTCCATCTCTCCCTCCTCCATTGCCCCCCTCCTCCATCACCCCTCCTCCTCCATCTCCCCCTCCTCCTCCATCTCCCTCTCCTCCATCTCTCCCTCCTCCATTGCCCCCCTCCTCCATCACCCCTCCTCCTCCATCTCCCCCTCCTCCTCCATCTCTCCCTCCTCCATCACCCCTCCTCCTCCATCTCCCCCTCCTCCTCCATCTCTCCCTCCTCCATCACCCCTCCTCCTCCATCTCCCCCTCCTCCTCCATCTCTCCCTCCTCCATCACCCCTCCTCCTCCATCTCCCCCTCCTCCTCCATCTCTCCCTCCTCCATCACCCCTCCTCCTCCATCTCCCCCTCCTCCTCCATCTCTCCCTCCTCCATCACCCCTCCTCCTCCATCTCCCCCTCCTCCTCCATCTCTCCCTCCTCCATCACCCCTCCTCCTCCATCTCCCCCTCCTCCTCCATCTCTCCCTCCTCCATCACCCCTCCTCCTCCATCTCCCCCTCCTCCTCCATCTCTCCCTCCTCCATCACCCCTCCTCCTCCATCTCCCCCTCCTCCTCCATCTCTCCCTCCTCCATCACCCCTCCTCCTCCATCTCCCCCTCCTCCTCCATCTCTCCCTCCTCCATCACCCCTCCTCCTCCATCTCCCCCTCCTCCTCCATCTCTCCCTCCTCCATCACCCCTCCTCCTCCATCTCCCCCTCCTCCTCCATCTCTCCCTCCTCCATCACCCCTCCTCCTCCATCTCCCCCTCCTCCTCCATCTCTCCCTCCTCCATCACCCCTCCTCCTCCATCTCCCCCTCCTCCTCCATCTCTCCCTCCTCCATCACCCCTCCTCCTCCATCTCCCCCTCCTCCTCCATCTCTCCCTCCTCCATCACCCCTCCTCCTCCATCTCCCCCTCCTCCTCCATCTCTCCCTCCTCCATCACCCCTCCTCCTCCATCTCCCCCTCCTCCTCCATCTCTCCCTCCTCCATCACCCCTCCTCCTCCATCTCCCCCTCCTCCTCCATCTCTCCCTCCTCCATCACCCCTCCTCCTCCATCTCCCCCTCCTCCTCCATCTCTCCCTCCTCCATCACCCCTCCTCCTCCATCTCCCCCTCCTCCTCCATCTCTCCCTCCTCCATCACCCCTCCTCCTCCATCTCCCCCTCCTCCTCCATCTCTCCCTCCTCCATCACCCCTCCTCCTCCATCTCCCCCTCCTCCTCCATCTCTCCCTCCTCCATCACCCCTCCTCCTCCATCTCCCCCTCCTCCTCCATCTCTCCCTCCTCCATCACCCCTCCTCCTCCATCTCCCCCTCCTCCTCCATCTCTCCCTCCTCCATCACCCCTCCTCCTCCATCTCCCCCTCCTCCTCCATCTCTCCCTCCTCCATCACCCCTCCTCCTCCATCTCCCCCTCCTCCTCCATCTCTCCCTCCTCCATCACCCCTCCTCCTCCATCTCCCCCTCCTCCTCCATCTCTCCCTCCTCCATCACCCCTCCTCCTCCATCTCCCCCTCCTCCTCCATCTCTCCCTCCTCCATCACCCCTCCTCCTCCATCTCCCCCTCCTCCTCCATCTCTCCCTCCTCCATCACCCCTCCTCCTCCATCTCCCCCTCCTCCTCCATCTCTCCCTCCTCCATCACCCCTCCTCCTCCATCTCCCCCTCCTCCTCCATCTCTCCCTCCTCCATCACCCCTCCTCCTCCATCTCCACCTCCTCCTCCATCACTCTCTCTCTTTGGGCATCAGGCACACACGTGCACCTTTCCTGTCAGGCAGTGGCAGCAGAAGCAGCGTGGAGCAGAAGCAGACCCCAGTCCCCAAGTCAGTGGCTCGCAGATGGAGAGGACAAAAAGCAAAACCTGTGTGATACTTGGCCACATCCAGGTTCCCTGCCGCTCTCTAAACGTACCACTGAGTCTGTCACAGACATAATTACTCATTGGACTCGATTTTGTACTTTGGACTGTTTTGGTTTCTTTTTGGTTGTTGCCATAGGGTGTGTGTGCTCACCAGAGAGACAGAGACAGGGAAGGTGAGAAATCACCCCCTGGGGTTGGCCACACTGCAGTCCCTTCTCATTCTCCCCTTGGGATTTAGGGCATGCATGCACATGTGCCTGGTGTGATTTTCAAGCCACTAGTTCTGGGACTCGAACCACAGTCAGCCATCTGGGAATCCGGTGTCTTTAACTACCATGCCACCTGCTAGTTCCAGCAGTTTGTTAATAAATTTTAAAGATCCAAAGAACTTGGAAAAAGCAGTGCTTTTGATTTTATTTACTATATTAACGAAGGCTCTCCAAGAAAGGCTGTGACTCATCAAGACCATACATCTGTGCTTCTGAAACGTTACTGGGACTTCTAACACTGTTTTCTAAGATTGCAGATGCCTTTCAAATACTTTTTTTTGAAAGAATTATTTATTTTATTAATTTTTTTTAGAGAGAGATTTTTGCTATAGGCACGTGCACTTGCCAGAGAGACAGAAAGTGAGAAATTATTCCCCCAGTGGGATGGCCACACCGCAATCCGTTTTCCTCCCTTCTCCTCCTAGGATTTTGGAAACACGCCCGGCAAGAATTTTAAGCCACCAGGTCCAGGACTTGAACTGCAGTCGACTACTTGGGAGTCCAGCATGTAACCATTACACCATCTGCTGGTCCATTATTTTTAAATTTCACTATAGAACATATGCGCTCACCAGAAAGAGGGAAAGTGAGAAAGCAAACTTCAGGTCCTGGACTTGAACCCGGTCAGCCATGTGGGAGTCCAGCGCCTTGACCAGCACACCACCTGCTGCCCCCCAGTACTTTGAAGTGAAAGAAATCCAAGAAACAAAGCTAGCTTAATTGCCAGACATACAGGGTGGACATGACCTGCTGTGCATAAGGGACGTCGTGAGTTCAGGTGTTTGGTCCTTCCCTGTGTTGATCATGGAGAGAAATATTCACCAATAGCAATTCACGGAAATAAAAGGAAGGAAATAAAACTCACATGTAGCCTCCCCACTATTCTTATATTTGTTGAAGAACTATTTAATTGTATTATTAATGTTTTTGAATTTGCTACAGAGCATGTATGCTCACCAGAGACAGAGAAACAGAGAAAGAGAAGGTGAGAAAGCAAGCTGCCCGGTCTGGGACTCAAACTGCCGTGGGCCATGTGAGAGTCCAGCACTTTAACCACCTCTCCACCTGCTACCTCCCCACAGTTCTTATTTTGAGAGATACACTTCTTCAAACTTTTTTTGACATATAAATGTGTATAATACTTCTATAGGAACGAAGGGGGCAGCAGGTGGCATGGAGGTTAAGGTGACTGGATCCTACGTGGCTGATAGTATGGTTTGGATCCTGGAAGGGGTGATGCCTGCCCAAAATCCCAAGAAGAAAATGGAGGGGAGAGGCTCTCTCTCTCCATCTCTCTCTCTTTCCCCCCAGCAAGCACATGCACCCTATAGAAAAAAAAAAAAAAGAATGAATGAATTATACATTTCTAAAATCTGTTCTTAATAAGAAGCAAATTCTTCTTGACAAAGACAACTTTGCATTTTTTAATCACAACCTAATTCTGTATTTACTTATTATTCCTTTAAGAAAAAAGGACAAAGGCTTAGAGACGACAAAACTGGAATCAGACCCCACCTCTGCCACTTTCCGACAATCTTGTCCCATCTATGAAGTTAGGGTAATGATACCAGCCTGTCTGGAAAGGTGTAAAAATTAAGAGACGTGTGCAAAACGCGTAGCACGCTGCCTAGCCTGCAATAGGCAGCCACTGTCACCGTTGTCACCTGCATTCACCGCAACCTCCCCGTGTGCTGTGGCTGTCTTTCCTAGGCATGGTTAGACTCTCGGAGCTCAGAGCAACAGGCCCCAGTTCCAGGCTCACCAGGCCAGCCCCGGCCCTGCCCGACGACATCATCACCCAGAGAGAAGCTGCGGAGGCGGAGGAGGAGGGGCCCGAGGAGGACTCCGGGGAACAGGAGCCAGCGGTCCCCGAGAGCCGGCCCCGGAGGCGCAAGGCAGCCCGGCTGCTGGAGGGGGTGGCAAAGGCCGATCCGGAGGAGAAGGTCCGGGGCAAGAGGCAGAAGGACTTCGATGTTTCCGAGCAAAACGAATCCAGCGACGAGGAAGGCCAGAAAAAAGAACGAACTCGTGCTGCCGAGGAACCGTGGACTCAGAGTCAGCAGAAACTTCTGGAATTAGCATTACAGCAGTACCCGAAGGGATCTTCTGACCGCTGGGACAAAATAGCCAAATGTGTCCCGACTAAGAGTAAGGTAGGTGGCTGGGTGAGTTCGAACCCCGCTGCAGCGCGGGGTCTCCTTCACACCTGCCTGGGGACGGGGGGTGGCATGCTCCCACTCCCCAGCTCCCTCCCAAGGTGTTCCTGTAGCTGGTGCCCCAAGGTGCAGTTGGGAGCCTGTGTCTTCTCCTCACCAAGACAGCTAGCTTTCTCAGAGCCGATTCTGTTTGGGAACAGGAGCGTCACCTGCTGCAGCCTGCCCCCTTCCTGAGTGTCCCCGCTTCTCCCGGCCGGTGAGGGCGCCTGCCCTGGCTTAGCCTTCCTCCGTGGAGGCAGCCTGCCAGTAGGCTCCAGCCGTGGGGTGGAAAGAAGGCCCTTGGTGAAACCACAGGGCTATCCAGCTTTGGCCCAGGGGCCATGCCAGCTGGGGGTGTCATCCAGAGCCTCTTGGGTCCTGCCAGGTCAGCACCCCTGGACTCGGCAGGAGCACCCGGTTGCCCAGAGGTCCAGGCAGTGTTGTGGTGTGGGGTCCCTTAGGACCCTCCATAACCTTGGCTGGCTCTTCTCCTTGTCCCGACTTACATCTGCCCGAGGCAAGTCAGAACCCACAGAGGGCCAGGGCAGGGTACTGTCCTGTGCAAGGCCGTGGCCCCAGCCCTGGCTCTGGCATCTTCTCTGCCCTGTGATCCCGCAGCTCGGGGCAGAGCAGCAGGGTAGGGGCTGTCCTGCAGGCCTTGGCTGTCGCACCCTGGCCCAGCCTTCTCTGCCCGGCCGCATAGTCTGGGGCTGCAGGGGCTCGGGAAACTCCCGAGAGCCTTCTCTTCTGCCGTCTGCGCCCGCCGCTCAGTAGCCTCCGGGGACGTGCTTTGGTTTGGTTTGGTTTGTTTTAGAGAGTGTTGCTATAGGGCGTGTGCACTCACTGGAGACAGAGAGACCGAAAAGGAGAAATAACGCCCCCCAGGGGCGTGGGGGCGACCACGCCACAATCCCTTCTCCATCTCCTCCTGGGATCTTGGGCACCTACACACACGTGCCTGACATGAGTTTTAAGCCACTGGGTCTGGGACTCGAACCATAGTCAACTATGGGAGTTCAGCAATGTAACCGTCTCACCATCTGCTAGCCTCTATGTTATTTTTTTTCGTTGAAATTCTGGCTTAGAAAATCTAACCTGTCGCTGTGCATGTCCCCAAGTGTGTAAGTCTAGTCATCGGTCACCTGCTCAAAAATGATGATGCTGGGACCAGCAGTTGCATAATGGCTATGTCGCTGGACTCCCACGTAGTCAACCACGGTTCAAGTCCCAGACCCGGTGGCTTAAACTCACGCTAGGCACGTGTGTGTGCATGCCCAAGATCCCGAGAGGAGAATGGAGAAGAAGGGATTGTGGCGTGGCCATCCCTCCCCTGGGGGGTGATTTCTCGCTTTCTGTCTCTCTGTCTCTCTGTCTGTCTGGCGAGCGCACGCGCCCTATAGCAAAAACCTCTCAAAAAACAATGATGATGCTGGGGCCAGCAGGTGGTATGGTGGTTAAAGATGCTGGATTCCCACATGGCTGTTGGTGACTTGCTTTCTTGTTTTCCCTCTCTCTCTGGTCAAATTTAAAAATAATAATAAATAGAATTAAATCATTCTTGTTTGGGGGTGGGAGGGTTTTGCTATAGGGCGCATTGACATGGGTGATGAATTGCCATTGGCTTAAAATGACGATGCTGGGACTGCGGGTTCCTGAGATGGCACGCAGGGCCCATTGCCTCTGGCAGGGACCTTCCTGTTTGCACCAGAAAGGAGCAGGGCTCTATTGGCCCGCGGATGCCCGTGAGCCTGGACTGGAAGCGTAGGTGGGAGGGGCTCCCCAGGCTGCACTGGTGGGGATCCAGGGTCCAGCTGAGCCTCTGAGGGGGTCCTCCTGCACTGGAGCTTGGGTCTAGGTTTCCTCCCCAGGGGTGGGACTGTGCCCTGTGTCCAGGACATCATGGCCACCAGGGACAGCTGCTGCTAAGACCTTCGGCAGGGGTGTGTGGGGCGTGCAGAAAGGCCCCCACAAGAAGCGTTCCGTAGTCCTGGCTGCGAACCTGGCAGAAAAGGGGCACCCCCTGCCCAAGGCCGCCATTGGCCATCTGCTCTCCGGCAGTCTGCCCTGCTCCGGACCTGTTAACCAGGGCTCACCACACAGTGGGTGCTGAGAAGTACCTTGTGATCCCCTGAGAATAGTGCCCCCACTCCCTCCCCCCGCACCCCACTCCTGCTTCCCTCACAAGTCGTCGTTCCCGCCCCCACCACCACCGTGGTCTGAATTGTGTTGTAACTCCAGGGACACTGGAGGGAAGAGCAGGAGGCCACATTCTGGCAGGTTCCATAGCCCTGACCTGGGGGGCTGGGCTGGTGGGGGTCTCAAAGCCCCCAGGGAAAGGCCGACCCAGTGAGAATAGCATCGTGGCTGCCTGGCCTCAGGCATTTCTCTGGAGTGACCTGTAGGGACGAGACAGTGGGGATTTTCAGCAGCTAGGAGTGGCCGGGCCCACAGCCGCCATCCCTGCCCCTCCATGACTAGCGCCTTCACCTGGCTGGCCTGGGGCTGCTGTCTCCTCGCACCTGTCCGGCCGGGCCGGACTCCTGCAGGGACTTCCAGAGGGAACGGACACAGGCCTCGTTAGCCCTGGCACGAGCGCCACCAGCAGGCGGGCCGCGCTCCGCAGCTGCCCGGGGACGTCTCAGCTCTCTCTCTCTCTCCCCGCAGGAGGACTGTATCGCTAGGTACAAGCTGCTGGTTGAACTGGTCCAAAAGAAAAAACAAGCTAAAAGCTGAATATTCTAGAAGATGATACTCACCTTCATTTTCCAAAATGAGTATTTTAAAGATCGGATGCAGACATTTGCATTTTGTACCTCAGTATTTCTATACGTCATGTGCCTTAAATAAACAAACATTTTGTCGTGCTGTGCTCTTTAAACAAGTACTGTGTTTGTTGTGGAGGAAAGAATTTGGGTTTCTTTTTGTTGGTCATTTTTTTCTTTCCTTTTTTTTAATAATTATTTTATTTAACCTTATTTATTTATTCATTTGTTTGTTTTAATTTGACCAGAGAGGGACAGAGTGAGAGTGAGAGAGAGAGAGAAAGCAAGCCGCCAGGTCCAGGACTCAAACCACAGTCGGCCATGTGAGAATCCAGCGCCTTTAACCACATGCCGCCTGCCAGCCTTCTTTCTTTTTTTTTTTCGCCAGACAGAGAAGGTGAGAAATATCACACACACACACACACACCCGTCACGGGGATGGCCATGCCACAGTCCCTTCTCCTTTTTTTTTTTTTTATTTTTTTTTTTGGGCGCCGGCAGGGGGCGGGGGCCAACCACGGTTCAAGTCTCGGACCTGGTGGCTTGCTTTCTCACTTCCTCTCTCTCTCTCTGTCTCTCTCTGATCAAACTGGAAAATAATAATGATAATAATAAATAAAGTTAAATAAAATAATTCTTAAAAAAAAATTACTTTATTTAACTTTATTTATTTTATTTTAACTTGACCAGAGAGGGCCAGAGAGAGAGAGAGGGAAAATGAGAAAGCAAGCCGCCAGGTCTGGTACTCGAACCATGGTGGGCCATATGGGAGTCCAGAGCCCTTAATCACCACACCTCCTGCTGGCCCCGATACCACAATCCTTTCTCCTCCATTCTCTTAGGATTGGGGCATGCACGCACGCACACCTGACATAATTCTCAGGCCACCGGTCCAGGGCGCAAACCCTTACCCACCACACCACCTGCTGGCCCAGGGCTTGGGTGCCTCGCGGATTGTTTTAGTTCGCTTTTCTGGGGAGCAAACACAGCTCGCTGATGCCACACAGGCGTGTTACCGAAGGACCGTCCGGGCGATTTCAGACTTACCGCTCCTGTCCTTATTCTGGGAACGAGTGTCAGGGCGCAGTTGCGGGTGTTGACATCACACGGCAGGAGCAACACACGGTGACCTCCAGAGGGTCTGCACAAGCGGCAAGCTCGGAGTTCTGGCTCTGGGGGGGGAATGTGTCCCCAAGTCACAATTTCCAGAGCATGTGCAGCCAAGCATGGAGGTACCGACGAAACTCAGTATCCGGCTGTGGAAGACCACAGTGATGTGTCCCTGGCGGGTCGTGCTTGAACTGGCCGTCAGCCGAGTGTCCTTAACTCGGTCCTGTGGGGGGCTTCGAGCCAGTTCAGTAACTGCAGGGTGCCTGCACCTGAGCATGAAGATAACCAGGACACACTTCCAGAAGTGAGGTGCAAACATGTCTATAAAGATGTCATTTTTCTCTAAGGATTGAAATGAGGTCACGGTGTCATGGAGGAGAGTGGGTGGCTCTGAGCATTCGTCCCCAAAGGAGGACTTGGGACCAGGTAAGCCTGAGCCCCACCTGAGCACAGCGACAGAGGAGCCGTCGCCATCAGGGCCCAGAGTCGAGCCAGTCTCGGGGTGGCACCAGGGCAGACAGGTTCCCAGACCCTCAGTCTGCCGGCGCCACCTCGCGCTCCTGCTCGGCTAAGGGGTCTTTGGAGAATTCGTGGAGAGGAATGGAGGGGCGGTGGGTGGGCCTGGCCCTGGTCCCTCTGGTCCCAGGCCTTTGTGCAGCTTGTGACACTCCGTGAGCACCTTGCCGGCGATCACCGTTGTTACGGCACCTCGGACTGGATCTCTGTCACACACCCGAGTCCTGGTACAGGTCCCTGGGAGTGTCGGGAGCCCGCATTGGAGCGGGTGCCGTGCAGCAGGCCAGACCCTCCCCTCCGCCTGCTCTCCGTCCTCGTCTTCCCTAGGCTAACAGGCCCTGCGCGTTCTCCCTGACATCTGTGTCTGCCTTCCAGGGGGAGCCCCTCTGGCCTGCCCTCTTCCTGGGCCTCTGGGAGCTGAGGGGTTCGCTCCAAGTCCCTGGCGTCTCTGGCCCTTGCACTGCGGGGCTGGCCCATTTAGTGATCTAAATTTCTCTTCCTCACTGGGGCAGGTCTTAGACCTCATTTCTTTCTCTTTCTTCTTTTTCTTTCATTTTGCCAGAGGGCTCATGCACTCAGAGAAAGGGAAAGTGAGAACCCCCCACCGCCCCACTCCTCCCCACCGTGGGGTGAGGTCACGCCTGCATCCTTCCTCCATCTCTGTCCCCTTTCAGGATTCTGGGCAAGCACACATGCCTGGTGTGTTTCCCAAGCTTCCGGGTCTGGGGCTCAAACCCGCAGTTGGCCACGTGGGATCCAGCTGCCTAAAGTGCTGTGTCATTGGCTGGCCCCGAACTGCCATTTCTTTAAACCACTTATTGCTCCAGTTTTTAAAGCTTGCTTACGTGCCATCCTTTATCCTCATGACACCTGGCCAGCTGAACAGGCTCTCGGCCCCCATGGCAGAGCCATACCTGCCCCCATGGGCCATCCATGTGCTGGATTGGTGGGGTGCCCTTCCCAGTGGTGTGGAAGTGTCCTGCCCTGCCTCAGTGACGGGTTATGACACTATGGTGCAGCCGGAGGTCTTTCAGCAGACGACCCAGTTGCTTAGATCCTCAGCAACCATCTGGCTGGTGGGCAGCTTGGCGGTGGGCCTCCCCTGGTAGTCCCACACAGTCGGCTCTCCTGGACAGGCACGGCAGCCCTGCTGAGGGCGGGGCAGCTTGGGGACGGCTGCAGCTGGCCAGCTTCCCCACTGTTGTGTTTGCACCTTCTCAAGTTTAGAACGAAATAATTGGGAACAGCGAGTAGTATGGTGGTTAGGGTGCTAGACTCCCACATAGCAAACCACGGTTTAAGTCCCAGACCCAGCGACTTGCTTTCTCACTTTCCCTCTCCTCCTGTCCATCTCTCTGGTGAGTGCACATGCCCTATAGCAAATTTGAAAAGAATAATTTGAAAATTAGGAAAAAAAAATAGCAAATTAGGGAAAAAAAGTTAAAAAATCTTCAGAAGCATTCACTGGGGGTCACTGCCCAGGTCTGGGCCGCAGCCCGTCCCGTCCCGCTGACACGTAGTCTGGAAGGACTTTCCTGAGCGTCCCTTGATGCCCGCGGAAGGGCATAGCGACTTGTTTCCGCCGCCTGCCCGTGGTGACCCAGCCCGGCAGCCGCGTGTGCACTGAAGCCAGGCAGTAAAGGGACGCTGCCGGCCTGAGTTTTAAGCCACCGGGTCCGGGACACGAACCGCGGTTGACTACGTGGGAATCCAGCGACATAGCCATTATGCTAACTGCTGGTCCCGAGAACGGAAACTTTTTAAAATACCAGATATTGGGGCCGCCAGTTAATGTGGCTAGATCCCACATGCCAACTGCACGGTTCCAGGTTCCAGTCCCAACCCAGCTGCTTGACAGACACATGGGGCACGTGTCCAAAATCCCAAGAGGACAATGGAGAAGGGATTGTTCTACACGGCACAGCTTCCATTGTGACGTCTGAGTACACGCCAGGACGCAGTGCCACATGGACCAGGACAGCCATCTCCATCTGTCTCAGTACACCCCACCTAGGCTCCGGGTCCGGGGGTTGCTAAGATGTGGCCCGTCCCAGAACCCGCGTGTCCTGGAGGGGCTGTGCGTTTTCCCACGGGGAATGCTGGCGTGAGTTTTGTTTGCTTTGGCTTAGAATGCCCCTAGGTGGAGGTGCCGTGTCCACCCTGACCCCTAGATTTTCTGGGGCAAGGCTGAGACTCAGACAGTGTCAGGCCTGCCCGGGGAGTCCCTGAACTGGCCCTCAGCCCCCCAGCCCATCAGATGCTCTCAGGCCTCCAGACTGACGACTATCTGGAGACTGAGGTAAGGCCAGGCTTCAGGGTGAGACCTGCGTGATCCATGACTTGAACTGGTCCAGCTTAGTCATTTGACAAAAAATGAATTTTAATATTCTGTCCCGATTTGGAAAATCGCCCAGCTTCCATTCATGGTCCTGAAACAGCCACCGCCAAGTCCTGGCTGGAGAATGAGGCCGTTTTCCTGGCCCAGCGTCCCTTTACTGCCTGGCTTCAGTGCACACGCGGCTGCCGGGCTGGGTCACCACGGGCAGGCGGCGGAAACAAGTCGCTATGCCCTTCCGCGGGCATCAAGGGACGCTCAGGAAAGTCCTTCCAGACTACGTGTCAGCGGGACGGGACGGGCTGCGGCCCAGACCTGGGCAGTGACCCCCAGTGAACGCTTCTGAAGATTTTTTAACTTTTTTTCCCTAATTTGCTATTTTTTTTTCCTAATTTTCAAATTATTCTTTTCAAATTTGCTATAGGGCATGTGCACTCACCAGAGAGATGGACAGGAGGAGAGGGAAAGTGAGAAAGCAAGTCGCTGGGTCTGGGACTTAAACCGTGGTTTGCTATGTGGGAGTCTAGCACCCTAACCACCATACTACTCGCTGTTCCCAATTATTTCGTTCTAAACTTGAGAAGGTGCAAACACAACAGTGGGGAAGCGCACCACAGCCTCGGCCTTCGCCTTTACCGCCCCGCGCCCAGGGACTGGCAGCTCTGGCCTGGGGAAGGAAGCAGGGGCTGTAGGACAGGGGTCACTGCTGCCCAGCGCCCGCCTCGGGAACAGCCCCGCGGGGTCGGGCTCCAGTCGGGAAAGCCCATCCTCGGTTCAGCGTAAAAGGAATCCTGGCGGAACCAGCAGATGGCGCAGTGGTTACGTCGCTGGGCTCCCACGTAGTCGTGAATCGCTGTTCAAGTCCCGAATCCGGCGACTTGAGACACCAGGTCTGTGTGCGTGGGTACCCCAAATCCTGAGAGAAGAGGGAAGGGATTGCAGCCTGGTCAGCCCCAGGGAGGGGTGATTGCTCCATCGCGCTCTCTGGCAAGCGGAGGGCCCCACAGCAACACTCCTCCCACCCCCCACCCCCCGGAAAAGGAAATACTGGTTGGGGCCGGCGGGTGGCTGGTGGTTAAGGGCGCTGGACTCCCACGTGACCGACTGTGGTTCGAGTCCTGGACC